TGTTCCGGAAGGTCTGACACTTTTATATATATCTTAAATTAAAGCTAATGTAATATACTTTAATGTGAAAAAAAAAAATTTGACCTCTGGACTTGTCTTCATGGTGAAAACGGCTACCGAATGCTATTTTTGTGTGAAAATTTTCGATTTTATTATTTATATTACATTTAACTTTATAATGCTATAACTTATTGAAAAGTTTATGGATTCACACAATTTTTTTATGAGAAATAATATTTTTTAATAAACCCTTTTTCATTCGACATACTTTATCTTAATCGAGATATTAATAAGGAACCAGCAGATCAAGTAGCTTTTGGAATAAAACACCAATTTTTTTAAAATTAAACACTATCTAAAGATTTGCATCGAAGCGTTTATTTTTGATAGTGATTTTAATCACTGTCAGATATCATTATACTTGATCCAACTATGCCACGTCACCACTGTGCCGCGACCCCCCTGTGCTGGGTTTTTTTTTAGCTGGATTTTCCACAGCAGAAGTTTATTTTCGAAAGATTTAATATGATCGAATAAATTATGAATTAATTGGTTTTGACGTTGCAATCGTAAATTTAACTCATTCAAGTGCAATCCATGAGATAGGCAAAATCATTTTTTTATTCTGAATCATTGAGTTGTTCAAATATTTTTCCTTTACTTGCAGCAAATTCAAAAATTTCTTTTCTTAAATCAAAAACCCTTTTCAAACTTTCCCTCTACTGAGCCAACGAACATCTGTAAAATAGATTACATCACCTTGTTCAGCGTCTATTTCACTTAGAAAGTTTTTAAATTCTCTATGATTCAATGGTCTTGATCTGACAAAATTTACTATTTTTACAACATCTTTCATAATAGTTTGAAAACCAACAGATTCCGCACATAAATTTTGTTGATGGATAATGCAGTGATATTGTATCAGTTGTAATGCTATACATGCCCCCATTTCCTTATTAATGAGCGCTATGAGCCCTTCATTTTTTCCAACCATTGATGGAGCTCCATATGTTATAACTCCAGAAAGGTTATTTAATTTGATATCAAAACGGTAAAATGTCGATTTTAATGCATTAAAAATATCAAAACTTTTTGTTGTGCCTTTCATTTGAAAAAGTGCGGTTAATTTTTTAGTAATATTAAAATTACCATCGACACCCCTTACAAAAATTGCTAATTGAGCTGTATCTGATAAATCTGTACTTTCGTCAAGGGCCAGCGAATCAAAAATAAATTTAAAAATTCGTTCTTTTAGGGTACTCTCAATATTAGTTCCTAGTTTTTCTATACGCCTTGCTATAATTACACCTGATAAAATCAATTTGGAAAAAAGTTGTTTTTGTGCTGGACATAAAATTTCAGAAGCCGATTCCATGCACTCTTTTATAAATTCACCATCAGTGAACGGCTTCAATTTAGCGGCAATTTTTTGTGCTATTATATAACTAGCTTTGACACTGGCTTCTGAGTCTTTATGACCTGTTTTTAAACTTCAAGACTGAACTTGTATATTTTTCATTAACAATGCAAGTTTGTCAATTCGAAGTTGTCCTACTATCATATCATATTTTGCTGCATGTTTGGTACTATAATGTCGTTTTAAATTGTACTCTTTCATCACTGCAATCAATTCTTGACAAATCAAACATATTGCCTTTTCTTTAACTTGAATAAAAAAATAGTTATGGGACCATTTTTCTTGAAAAACACGACTTTCATCTGAGATTGTACGTTTTTTACTGACCGACATATTATACAAATATACGAGTATTATGCTCGTTCCACAATCGATTACGAACTAACAGGCAACAGCCAACATTTATCTCTAGGTAGGTAATTTAATTTATCTTATGGCATATTTCCGATAGCGATGGCTAAGCCGTTATAATTTTATAGAAATACGAAATATACATGCTTAATTTTAAATTTGATCGCGGGCCGCATACAATGACAGGGCGGGCAGCAAGCGGCCCGTGAGTTATAGACCCCTGTCGTAGAGAGTAACGTAGAACCAAGTGTAGAAGGTAAATTTGAAAGTATAGGTGAAAAGTTATTAGACATCCTTATTGAAGAAAAAAATCATTCTTACGCGAATACCAGCGATATTACAAAACCGGATCATTTTTATAATAATATTAATAACGCTTCGTCGGGTGATCAAAATAAATTAGAGGGTTCAGGTAAAGAACATTTTTATGAAGATATAGACGATTTAAATAGAACCTTTAAAGAAGAACAAACACCGGGTAATCGTAATAACTTAACATAGAGAAAAATTCTAGACTTACATTCATTAACTATTTGCATAGAAACAATAAATTTAAATATTACAAGTATGGAGTCTAATAACCGATATTAGTTGATAAAAGAAGATTATTTTTCGGGTACTGAGGATGTAAGAAAATTTTTCAGGCAGTAAGAAAAGGCAAATGAAATTAATAGATGGAGTGAGAGTGATAAAATACAATTTTTGTCAATATTTTTAAAAGAGACAGCTAGTATAATTTTTGAAAACTTTGAAAATGAAAAATCAATTTGGACATATGAGGAATTAAAAAACAAATTTCTAGACGAATATCAACCAATAGGCTATTAAACTCTAATAAAAATTAAACTGGAAAAACGTAGGCAGGAAGAGTCAGAATCCGTTATGAATTATGTAACAGAAATTGAAAACTTATGTAGACAGTTAAGTAAACAAATAGGGAAGAAGATAAATGTACTTTTATTTTAAGAGGACTAAAAGAATCAGTATTGCATGCTATTTCATTACACAATAATAGTAGTTCGAAAAATTTAAAACCCGACCCAGCACAGG